TGCAGTAACCATGTAATGCATTTGTTCAAACACAACTAGTTTTTTCAGCTGATAGTTAAGTTCGCACTCTCATATTTTGTAGTGAATTTTTCTGTACTGATGTTGTTAAAATCCCCATGTTGTTGCTGTTGTGTATTCCAGAGGAAGAAAAGAAAATAGACATCTTCTCACCACAATTTGATGGTCTTGGATGTGAATCACATGTGGAAAGAGAATTTTATCAGCTGGGAGGTCCTACAAACTCCTCGACTATAGATTTTGAGTCCAACTCATGTGTGGATAAAGGGTCCAACAGTGATGGAATTTCTATAAATGTCAGACAGACAGAATCTCACAGTGATGCTGCAATTGTTAGGAAAGAAACCTCCTATAGAAATTCTAACGGGACAAAATCTCTTGCTTGTGAAGAAAAAGAGGAGGTTTTGGTTGCTGATTTGCTGTGTGCTGCATGCAAGCAACTGCTCTACTGCCCTGTTGTTCTTAATTGTGGCCATGGTACAGTTATGGAATTTTAATTTAACACCCTATAAGGTTTCAATCTTTTTTTATTTGTGAAGAAAAAAAATCCCTTGTTGTTGTGTACCCTTTCTCATATATTCTCTCTTCTTTTGAAAAAAAAAATGAACATTTCAGTTTATTGTGAAGCCTGTATTATCAACCCTGCTGTGGAGACGCTTAAGTGCCAAGCTTGTCAAAGTTCACATCCAAGGGGTACTCCAAAAGTATGTTTGAAGCTTGATCACTTTTTAAAGGAAAAGTTTCCAAAAGAATATGAGTTGAGAAGAGATGTTGTTCAGCAGAAGCAAGTTCTTTTAAAGAATGAGAGCACAACCACCTGTATGTGTTGGTTTGCTATTAAATGTTGGGTTATATTATGTGTTTTATATTTTTCTTTTTGTTTGGTTTCTTTCTGTATAGTGAAGTACAAAATTAAAATTGTTGATATATGTTGCTTGGACTTCTGCCTTCAACATACTAATTCTTTAATTTGTTGAATTAGTACTTCAAAAAAATTAAATCACAGTATTAGTGCGCTGTAAATATTTGGACTTGCTTCTCATTATGTTAGAAACTTTCAGGTTCCCCAGAAGCTAGTAACCAAGATATATTCTCCTCCTCTATGCCCTCTGGTGATCTCCCTTTCACTAACATTCATGCTGGAGTTGGTTGTGATTCTTGTGGGGTAAGTTCTCTAGTTCTTGTGTCTCCTTATATGCAACTATTTCTGTCAGCACAAACTTGATCAACCAAATTGACTAGAAGACTAATTTTGTCTTTAGCAATTCTTTCAACCATACATCTTGGGGGTTCATCAAGAAAAAAAGTTCCATGCTTGGGAGGATGTTTTTAGAGTTTTGACACCTCTTACCAGCAATTTTTAACTAAGATCCTCTGCTTGGGCACCATAATATTGCAATTTTTGCTTAAGGGAGATAATAATAGCGTAGCATATCCACATATGCAGTTTGTTGGATTGTGTTGCCATTCTTTGACCAAGGAATACACTCTAGGTTGAGTGATAAACCACCAATTATGGCGCTCTTTTTGGTTTAGCTATTCGGGAAATGCATATAGCTGATATCTCATCTGAGAGCTGATAGTGTTTGGATTACAAACAACAACTATCGAATGTCAAATATTGGATATCAGCTATCAGCTGTTCCCAAACAGCTAAACCAAAGAGTCTTCTGTTTGGTGACTTTCTTGTTGTATCATGGTCATTGTATAGTAGATGCATCTATTCATTGGTCTTTGAAATATACAGTGTCTTATATATCAATGCTCATTGTGTTTCAGCTGATGATGATAGAATATATAATGTCTGATTAATAGGTTGCTATTTAATTAGATTAAAACCCTCAAGAAGTCAGTAACATGATTTTGTGCTAACAGATGTGTCCAATAGTTGGAGATAGATTCAGATGCATAGACTGTGTGGAGAGGATAGGCTTTGACCTCTGCGGAGATTGCCATAAAAGTGGACCTAAGCTTCCTGGCCGGTTCAACCAGCAACATACCCCAGAACACAGATTTGAGCTTGTGAAGCGTGACATTTTCTCTCCCCGCAATGTGAGGATCAGACTGGTAACCAGGGGGCGACAGGATGATCTTGTCATCCCTGAGGCTGATTTAGTTGGTTTAGAAGATGGAGTTTGGATTTTCACTTCAAACGGTGATTCTGAGGGCAACACCAGCAGTGATGTAGCTGCTTCTGTTACTCAACTGGATGATGATACTGAGGATCAAAACGATACTCAGGCAACTAATTGAATGTAGAAGTCCTCCAAACCCCATTTGCCAGTCCCTGAGGCATAGAGAAATGGGCTGTGTTACGAAAGGTACTGTTCTCACTCCAATCTGCAGCATGGATCCTTCCTTTACACCAATGAAGGTGTTTATGATCGTTGTAGTTTTTGCATGAATCTTTGCCCTTGAGGTATGATAGTCGAGCACCCCAGGCATTTCGGAACTTGTCTTCATAGGCTAACCATGTCAGGCGACAAACTCTTAGGAGCCTGGGACCATCATATATCAGCCTTCGTGTTGTTCAATGCAAAATTTACAGCTTTTCCTGAGTACTAAATGTTGTTGATTGATTTGTAAGTGATAACCTGGTATTCCGTGCCATTTTGATTTGAACTTGTGATCTAGACAATAGTACAAAACTTTCAGTCTGCCTTGTATTTTTTTTTTAATTTCTTAATACTTAAAAGTCATGTTGTGTTTTAATTAATTTATAATTAAATCGAATCAAAATTTACAAAAAATAAATTCTTTTAATAGTTTTTTTTTATTCATAGGATTTGAATTTGAAATAATATTTTGCTTTTATGTTTCTAAAATGATTATGTAGTTTTTTTTTTTTTGCCATCAATACCTTTGTCTATTTGTTTTATAAAATTATTATAAATCTTAATTATTTATAGTGAAAATAAATAATTAAGATTTTATATAAATAATAAATATAAGAGAGATATATAAGTAAATCATAATTAATTTTTTTTATGAGCATAGTTTTTAATTTGTGTTTTCCACCAGGGCATTTAGCATTTACCTCCTGCTCTGGAACTTGGGGACTGAACACATTTAGAATTGGTTGTTCAAGTCCAATGCTTTTGAGGCATGCAGT